CAGGCGCCCCCAAAGGTATTTTTTAAAATACTTTATTTATTTGACACAGAGCGATCACAAGCAGGGAGAGCAGCAGTAGAGGCAGAGGGAGAAGCAGGCCCCCCGCTGAGCAGGGAGCCTGATGCAGGGCTCATCCCAGGACCCCGGGACCGTGACCTGAGCCGAAGGCAGACGCTAAGCCACCTGAGCCCTCCACGCGCCCCCACCCCCCCCGACGGCCCCTCCAAGTTATTTTTTGTTTTTGAGAGAGGGAGTGTGAGCCCACGTGCATGGGCGTAGGGGACGAGCAGGAGAGAGAGAATCTTTTTTTTTTTTTAAGATTATTTATTTATTTATTTGACAGACAGAGACCACAAGTAGGCAGGGAGGCAGGCAGAGAGAGAGGGGAGGAAGCAGGCTCCCTGTTGAGCAGAGAGCCCTATGCGGGGCTCGATCCCAGGACTCTGGGATCATGACCTGAGCTGAAGGCAGAGGCTTTAACCCACTGAGCCACCCAGGCACCCCGGAGAGAGAGAATCTTAAGCAGGATCCACACTCAGCGGCGCGGAGCCCAACACGGGGCTCGAGCTCACGACCCTGAGATCATGATCTGAGCCAAAGTCAAGAGTCAGAAGCTTAACCCACTGAGTCAGCCAGGTGCTCCTCCAAAGTTGTTTTTTCCTTAGCTGCCTGGCACATATAGAAGTATGTTAAGTCGTTAATTAAAATGTTATTTTTCTGGATTTTGTGAGGTTTATAGTATCTACCAGCTTTTAAAATTTGTAAGCTATTTTTCCTCATCCTATATAATATTCCTGGTCACATTCGACTTTGAATTTGTATGTTTGTATTGTATTTATTAAAAAGAGCCCTCTAGATTCTATCAGGTCCCACAAAACCTGAATCCATCCTTGATAATTGGTCTACACATCTTTTTTTCCTTTTCTGTTATATTTCATTGAACCCCTTCTAGCCTTAAATAATATGTACCCATGGATATAGGAACTGAAAAAAAAAAAAAAAAGTTCCAGGTGCACCTGGATGGCTCAGTGGGTTAAGCCTCTGCCTTCGGCTCAGGTGATGGTCTCAGGGTCCTGGGATCCAGCCCCGCATCGGGCTCTCTGCTCAGCGGGGACCCTGCTTCCCCCTCTCTCTGCCTGCCTCTCTGCCTATTCGTGATCTCTGTCTGTCAAATAAATAAACAAAATCTTTAAAAAATAAAAAAGAATACCAACAGTTAAAAAAATTTTTAAAAAAAGTTCCAATACATTGTACTAAGAAATGAATGTCCAATAAAATTTATTTCTTAAGTTTAGGAATGTTGATTAATATTGGAATTTATTTAGGGGCACCTGGGGGGCTCTGCCCGTGAAGCGTCTGCCTTCGGCTCAGGTCATGATCTCAGGGTCCTGAGATCGAGCCCCCTTCAGGCTCCCTGCTCGGCTGGGGATCTGCTTCTCCCTTTCCTGCTCCCCCTGCTTGTGTGCGCTCTGTGTGTGTCAAATAAGTAAGTAAAATCTTTTTTAAAAAATCTATAAAAATTGGAGCTTATTTATAAATAAGGTGGTAAGATTTGTAAACAAAAGCGTTAAGAAAAATTAGGTTTTTATTAAAATTGAATTTTTGTGTTTCCTGCCCCAGTTCCTGTGTTGAAGCCCTAAACTCCCAAGGGCCGATGACTGGTAGTGCGGCCTCTGGGAGGAAGCTAGGGCTAGACGAGTTCTGGGGGCGCCCTCAGGATAGGGTTAGGGTCCCCTTAGGAGAGACTCCAGGGAGCGGCCCGTGGTGTGAGGACACAGGAAGATGGCCACCCACAAGCCATGAACAGGGACCTATCCGCTGCCTCAGCCAGTACCTTCATCTCCAACATCCAGAACCGAGACAACACTCGTCTGTTGTTGAAGCCCCCTTCCCCGCCCTCGCCCCCCACCCCCCACCCCCGGCTCAGGGGGTGGTTTCATGGTGGCGTCCGAGATCTCTAACACAGAGCCCAAGCGTACGATTCAGCCCCCATCCTTGCTGCGTGTCCCTTCCCAAGCCGTGGCCTCCAGCAGGGTCCCTGTCCGGGGCTTGGCACAGACCCATCCCAACACCTCGAAGACCAACCTGGGGGCTTCTCAGTCACTGTCAACATCCAGGGTAGACGTCCTGTCCCACAGAGCTTTCTCTGATCAACTTGCTCTCTTCCCCAGACGGCCCCTCTGCTATGAGGCTCAGCACATCTCCTCACATGGCTTTCCCCAGGCCTCCTTCCTGAGGCTGGGACTGGGGAGAGGTGTGCACGGTCTTTGAACCCGCAGCCCAGACCCAGGCCCAGCATAAGGCGAGCACTTAGACCAGTTGCTCACAGGCCCACGAGAGTGACGTCGCCCTGTAAGGAACCCCACGTTGCCCGTTAACTCTTACACCCTAGTCTGTGTTTCAAATCCTTTCTAGAATAAAGATGGCTGGAGGGCAGAGGGACGGCGGTCAGGGGGAGGAGGTGGTGGAGGCTGGGCGCTGAGCCCCAGAAACACACCCATGATCTGAGTGTCCAGCCCGTCCTTGCATGAAGTGGCCTCTGGCCGCCCCTTCAATACCACGGCCCCTTGGAGAACCCTGCTCTCTGCCACCACGAGAGGCCCACAGCCAAGAATGGGTTTGCCATTTTTAAAGGTTGTAAGAACAAGACGTGGGACAGTGACTACACAGGGCAAACCTCAAAGAACCCCCCCTCCGGCCCTTCACAGAAAGCCTGACGGCTCACGGGGCTTTGCACTGTTTGCATGTCGTGCGTCAGGCCCGTTCTAGAAACATCTGGCTGCCTCCCACGTGCAAGGTGTGGGGCCGCGGCCAGATGGGCTGGGTGGCGAGCTGGGAGCGGAGGAGCACGTCGCTGGGTTCTGGGTGCTGGCTGAGACCGGCAGGAGAGAACGCCGACCATTCAGACAGAAGCCCGTGCTCGGAGGCAGAACCAGACGAACCGCACAAGCATCTGCTGGTTTTCGGTTATTAAGCAGCTGCTGGGCAACGTCAGGACCAGAATTCCGCATGAGCAAGGGCTGGACTTCCTTGCAGTCCAGGGTATTTCCTGTGACAGGTGGAAGAGAGCAGGCGTCCGGGAAGATGCCACCGTTCTGGTGACAGGGAAAATACAAAAGGGAATGGAATCATTATCTTATTCCACTCGAACCTATTAAACGGGTTTAAAAGCCTTGTGGAGGGGTGTCTGGGCGGCTCGGTCGGTTGAGCAAAGGCTTCTTGGCTTCAGCTCAGGTCATGATCTCAGGGTCATGGGATCGAGCCCTCACTGCCCCTGCCCCTGCCCCATCAGGCTCCACGCTCAGTGGGAGACTGAGATTCTCTCCCTCTGCCCCTCCCCCTGCTCACTCACGCTAGCTCTCAATAAAATCTTAAAAAATAATAAAAAATGAAAAGTTTTAATTAAAAAAAAATTAAAACCCTTGCGGAAACTGAAGCAACACCAACGTTTGTGAATCCCACGTGAGTCATCAGACCGGTTTCTGGAAATCCATTTTAAGGAAACAATACAAAACACAGCACGAGTGACAGTCACACAGACGATTCCAGCTGCGCTGAGAGCAGGGGGACGAGCGAGGATCCAAAAACTGTGCAGCGCGGGCAGGTGGGGCGCTGCTAGAGGACACACCATGGCGGGTCCTGCACATACAGCCGTGGCCAGCACCCCTTGTGTTGGCTCTCAAGCCTTTTTGGAGGTTGGGGGAGAAGGAGCCAACTCCCGGAAAGACTGGAAAATAACCAGCGAAAAACTTCATGCAGGGGCGCCTGGGTGGCTCAGCAGGTTAAATTCTCTGCCTTTGGCTCAGGTCGTGATCTCAGGGTCCTGGGATCGAGCCCCACATTGGGCTCTCTGCTCAGCAGGGAGCCTGCTTCCCCTTCTCTCTGTTTGCCTCTCTGCCTACTTGTGATCTCTGTCTGTCAAATAAATAAAATCTTAAAAAAAAAAAAAAGCTTCATGCAAATGAAAATAACACTCCTACCCTTTGCTGGGTTGAGAGCTGCGGGCCGCAGCGGCAGGAGCAGTCTGGGAAACGCACCGGGGATCTGCACTCCCCTGGCCCCACACACCCCATGAGTCCTGTGGCCGCTATGTGAAGCCAGCTGGGACATGGGAACGCCCTGTGGGACAGCAAACTGTCGTTGTAGGGCGCCATCCTTCTGCTGCCCCTACCCTGAGGGAAGGTGTGGGAAGTGTTAGTAATGGGGGTGCGGGCGTGGCACGGTGGATTCTCGGTTACTGCCCGCTTCCTTTCTTTTGGGTAACGTGGCTCTACTACTTTTACGGTAAAAAAATGTGACGACGAGACTCTCACCGAGGGGCTAAGCCGTCAGAAGTAATAAAAGGCCAGGCAGTGATCACAATCGTAGTTTTCAATTCCGGTGTTCTCACCTGGATTAGCTGGAGAAATGCGGGATTAGAGAAAAATGAACTGTAATTTACAAAGACACTGTGTCGTTTGCTGTGCACCGAAAAGACCAAGGACCAGAATTCAGACGAAGCGACGTATCGTCCAGGAGTCCGGGCCCATCGACAACCGCCGTGTGAGAACAAAGCGAACCACTAGAATGATAGGGATTCGAGGTGGGGCGGCGGGAGGGTCCCCTTCAGGCGGAGCTGAGCCGCCCTAACAAACGGGCCCACCTTCCATAACTGCTTCGGAGTAACCTCACCGGACGGGACTCTCTCCCAGGAGATGGTTTATTTCGTCCCCACCGGGCGCCGGTGCAGAGACACCGCCCACCACCACCCAAGTCCCTCCCCACACTACTCGCACCCCAGGCGTGAGTGACGCTACCGTGAGTGCTGGAAGGCCCCGCGGCCGACCCAGAAACCCTCTGTAGCCTGAAGAGCCCAGAGTCCGCCGTGGCCATCGGGGGCAGAGCTGCTCTGCCGGACCCCACGAAACCAACCTCCGGCCCCAACCCCACCCCGCTGAACACATCCCCGAGCTGACAGCCTATGCCCGACGCAGGTGAACAAAAGGCTTCTGTTCCTTCTCTAATACTGAAGCGCTGTAACTCAGTGTTTATTTTCTTTGCAGTACAGTGGTTGGAACCAGAACTCCTAGTCTGGCTTTCCCAAGAACCAGGTCTGCCATACTTGAAGGTATCACTACATTCACCAGCGCCGAGCTGGTGAGACAGACTAACGACAGACCGGGGAGCAGACACAGCGGATCGCAGCGATGCAAGGTGCCCACGACTCTCTGAGGCTACGGCTCACGGGCAAACCCCGTGTACAGAAGCGTCTGAACGCACAGCTACACGAAGTGCCGCGAATTCGCTGTTCGCCGCCAACGGACAGGGATCACGCACGGCATGGCCGGAGCGGGTTTTATTCTGCTGCCCAGGCACCGGAAGCGTTCTTCTGTCAAGGGAGCGCTCAGTGGCGAGGGGACTCCCGTCCGGAAGAGGGCTGGGGCATCCTGAACTTGGACAGGTCCAGGTTGAGGTCTAAGAAGGTGTACGGGGTGTAGTCATGGTGCTGGAGGTTCCTGTACGTGGTGTTATCGAACGGCTCGGCGGGGCTGGCGGCTTGAGCGGGCTCTGCGGGGGGGAAAGCGAGACCTGTGAGGACACGGGACAGAAGGGCGTCCGCGGGCGCACCCAGCACTCCTCACACACCCTGCCTGAAATAAATGGTCCAAACAGAAAAGCCTGTGAAAGCAACAGGGTCTTCAGAAGCAAAATAAAGGAACGAGCTGAAAACGTTTCCAAAAACACACCCGCTTCCCAATGGGACGGTTGCGAGTCGTTAACACCCGACTTCGTAGAACTCTGAAAATGCCTACGGTTACGGGGTCATCTTCAGGCCACTTAAAGATGCAGGAAAGACCCCAGATCTGTCAGAGAGCGGTCTCATTTCAAACCACCAGCAGGGAAAACTGTTCCAAAGCGAGCCTGCTAAGAATCGTCAGACTCTGTTTTAACGACACAACCACACAGCTCGAGGGGGATGGAAATGACGTGTCGAGTTTTCAACTTTTTCTGAAAAAGTTGTTGGTATACTGTAGATTCAGACTAAAATATATAAACTGGAAACTTTCTTCCTGTGGAGAACGTCTGGTCATCCTAGAAGTCCAAGTGTGTGGTTGAAGCAAAGGAAATGCAGCCCTTCCTGCCCCGGGGTCAGGCGGTGTCAGAGGGCAGAGGTGTGGCTCTCGGGGGCTGCGGGTGGCGTGCCTACTGGTCCGGGACTTCTAACAATGGGGCTCTCCCAACTTCTACCTGGGGGGCACGGAAAAGGACCTAAATAGATTCCCTACTTGGATTCATAGCAAATGTTTTGTTTTTCATGTGTTCAGTTGTATTAAACAAAAACAATGTCTTATTCAGACCTGACACCTTTTCAATCTCGAGGAGAGCCTCCCGATGCGTGTAGGGACATCTTCAGAGCAGATACACGGATGGTGCTAACTGAAGGGAAATGGGGTTCAGAAAACTCGTGTGAAAATCAAGCCCGCCAGAGGCAAGGGGCCAGGCAGCAGGGGCAGGAACACTGCCCAGGGACACCTGCAAGTGGGCCGTGCTCCAGGGCAGTGGCGGCCTCAGCCTCCGAAGGGCACAAGGAATGCAGGAAAAAGAACACGTCCGTAAAAAATCAGAAGAAAACTGTTTTCAAAATCGTTTGCAATGTGCAAACCCTGTCGTCATCCTAAAGTCTGGGCATTGCCCTGCAGTTTACGGCAGAAGGACCGAAGCAGTGCGGTTCTTGACGCCTTGACCAGTCTGACAAGCGCGGGCACTTCTGTATATTAATGAAAGAGGGAGAAAACGGAGAGAAGAAAAGCCATAAATTCTGTCCACACGACACAACCAGTAACAACAACGACCACAAAGTGGACATGAGGCAAGAGGGGGCGGCCTCAGGAAGACCACAGAGCAAACAGGAAGGGGCCGCGGCTGTTAGTAATGCATTTTACAGACATTCTGCGGAGCCTGGCTCTGCGCCCAGAGCCCTCCCTGCCCGCCTGCCTTGACCCAGCGACAGCACAAGCCCTCTACACATGTCAGTGCATCGCCACACGGTAGCGCAAAAGGAACAAAATACTAAACATTTATGACAGCGAAAGAGCCCTTCATAAAAATTCAGTATGGGAAAACAGAATAGCCCACCGTGTTTTTTGGGTAAATCAGAGAAGGAAGCATCATCCTGGGGAAAGAAGACGGAAGCTGCTCCGGGCGCACCTGGGCCGCTCGCTGCTCACTGAGTTATCCCCAAACCGGGCTTGCCCCTCAGGCCTAAGGAATGGAAAGGCACCGCTCCCTGGAGGCCTGCCCCACAGGGTGAGCACGGCCCACCGGAGTCCCCCAGACCCCTTCCACGGAGAAGAGGCTCTGCAAGTCAAGGTCAAGGGAAAGGACATTAAACAGCTGGGGAGGGGGGTGGGGGGGCCAGAAATGACCCAGGCCTCCTGCCTCCCCTTCCGCCTAAATGGAAAGTGCCCCGGGGCTGTGCCAATTCCGATAGTCCTCTGCTTATCTGAGACCCGGCCCGGGGCCCACTGCTACCGCAGACACTTCTTCACACCGCCTGGGCCTCCAGCGGCCCGCCACCCGCACGGGAAAGGAGGTTCTCGAGAGAGCAGAGGTCAAGGTATACCCTGTGTGTCGTCCCGCTCTGCCGGGCCAGGCGTCGACGCCGTCTCGTCCTTTCCCTCGAGCTCCAGGGCTGCCGGCTTCCCATGCTGTACTGGTGGTACCTGGTCTCCCAGTGTCTCCTCTCGAGCCTGCAGGACTCCTCCCATTATCTGCTCTCCAGAACCTTCCCTGCCGACCGGGGGAAACGCCCCCTCCCCATCGCGTTCCAGGACCTGTTTCTCCAAACGCCCATCTCTGGTCTCAGGAGGTGCCTGCAGCTGCCCCGCTGCTCTGCTTGCTTCTAACGACGACACAGGGCTGCCAGCCGGCTGTGTAGACAAGCCTGACGTCGTGGGCGCGGGGCTGCCCGCCGGCTGTGTAGACAAGCCTGACGTCGTGGGTGCGGGTGCGGGGCTGCCAGCTGGCTGTGTAGACAAGCCTGACGTCGTGGGCGCCGGTGCGGGGCTGCCCGCCGGCTGTGTAGACAAGCCCGACTTCACATGGTCAGGTGAGGCTTTTTTAACTTCCAGTGGTTTGGGACTTTCTTTATCTTTCTCACTTGATCTAAGTATTTTCCCCATTTGTTTCTCCTTTACGTTTTGCTTCATCAACTCCTTATCTGCTTGCAACCTGGGTGCTGTGGTTTTCAGTTTGGTGTCTTTTCTGTCCTCTAGTGGCTTCACAGGGGCCCCTTTCTTCTTTGCCTGCCGGGGCCTCTCTGGAGGGCTCAGGTCTGGCTGTCCCTGCTCGGACCGGGTCTTCTCTTTGGTGGAAGCTGCGATTTTGGGGGCTCCGCTTTCAAGCGAACGGGAGGCCTGCGGTTTGGGAAGGCCTCCTCTGCCCCTGCTCGTCACCGGAGGGTCAACTGTGGAGCCGCCGCCCTCCTCATCAGACTCCGAGTCAGAGGAGCTGGACGACGAGGACGAGGACGAGGATCCATCTGTCCCTCCCCTGTTCTCTTGAACAGCTCTGGACTCCGAACCCTCTTTTCTGAATGGAGGCATAACTTTTTGAGGAAACTCTACCAAAGTCTTTCTTGACAAAAACTCTGGAACCCCTTCATCTGTGAATAGCACGCTATCCTCAGGACTGGGGCGAGGGCTAGCTACCCTCCCGCCCAGATTCACAACTGATGGGTAAGAACTGGGTGAAGACAAGTTTTTAGACAATTCAGCTGCTGCTGGGGTGGCTAGTAGCTTGCCCCTCTCCTTTGGTTCCACTACATCTAGGAAATGGCATAAAGAGGAATATTATTTTCAGTAATTTGTAAAACAATCTAAATTTATCAGTAAGTCAAAGACATTTCATTACTAACAACTTGTAATCATAATATTTTCAACATAATCAGCCTAAGAAATGTTCCAGGAGAACGCATTCTTAGGTCAAAGCCAAGCCACGTGATAGGGAACAGTAAGACACATGAAGATTTTTCTTCACAGCTGAAATATTTAAAAACAGGGATTTTTACCAACAGAAGTAACAAACTTGTCTCCACTTTTCACAATAAGAACTTCTTTGATGATAATTTCACCCAAATTTCAAATAGTTAAACTATAAAGATATTTCCAAATGACTACTGAGGGTTTTAGAAATGGGTAATTTCTTATCTTTAAAAAACTGATGGTTCTCAAATGTTAAGAAAGTCATCCACAGAGAATGAGCCCGAACTTTCTGGGAACCCCCCCCCCCTGCAAATCATGGGACACTTGGGTGGCTCAGTGGGTTAAGCCTCTGCCTACAGCTCAGGTCATGATCTCAGGGTCCTGGGATTGAGCCCCGCATCAGGCTCTCTGCTCAGCGGGGAGCCTGCTTCCCCCCCCCCCCCCCGCTTCCCTCTCTGCCTACTTGTGTCTCTGTCTGTCAAATAAATAAAATCTTAAAAAACAAAAACAAAAACCAGGACAGGGACAAGCACCTGGTTTGCATTTGGGTGTGTGCATGCAAGTGCGTGTGCGAATGCTGGGAGGGGGGTGACAGGGTGGGGAGAATGTCATTCAAATGAACGTGCCCCACGGGGAAGAGAAGTCCTTCAAAATCACAAGTCATCTGGGGACTTCCTCGGCCACAGAAAAGTATTACACAACCGAAAAGGTCTAAAATAACTTGGTGCGTATATCATTAGAAACAACAAGTTTTGAGCTTGGGAGGGGCGGGAGGAGACAGAATAAGTGCTAATGTAAAACCCTTGCATTTTGTAGAGTCAATCATTAAAAAAATAAGATTGCATAGTACGCTGATCAGAACCAACTTCATTCAATTTTCTCGGGTAGTAAATCTTTTCTAACCACAGAAATTTGAAGAAAAATATAAGACAAGTGTTGTAAGTTACAACTACTTTCCAAATCTAAAGCAAAACTTAAAAATACACTGCAGCGGAGCAGACGCCAGATGCAGCGGCTTTGTTCTCAGGTGCCAGAGTCTATCTCATCCTAAAGAGACCTCGACCCTTCTTCTCTCAAGTGGAAAGAAGCGTAGTCCTGACTTTACTGTCTTCCCAGTATCCACAGCGGCTTCTCACTGTTCTCTGGGCTCTGGGACCTACACGTGACAGGAGGACAGGAAATGCAGAAAATGGAGGAATAACCACAAATCGGAAACGGGCCACTGAGAAGAAAGTGGGCGCGTTAAGGGCTTGATGGCCCAGCCAGAGCAGATCGTGGCGGCTCACGCCCACACCCTGCACCACCACCCCCTCCAGCCCCGGCATCCCCACGGCAGCCACCACTGGCCCCTCGGCCAGCACCAGCTCTGCCGCCTCCACGCGCGGCAGGCCCAGGGTCTGTATTCCGAATGCCCTGACTCTCAGAACACACACGAACTCTGGGACCACATTCAACACAAAAACGAGGCAAAGGAGGGGTGCCTGGGGGACTTGGCTGTCAAGTGTCTGCCTTCGGCTCAGGTCATGATCCTGGGGGGTCCTGGGATCGAGCCCCGTGTCATGTTCCCTGCTCGGCGGGAAACCTACTTCTCCCTCTCCCACTCCCCCTGCTTGTGTTCCCTCTCTCGCTGTCAAATAAATAAATTAAGTCTTAAAAAAAAATTAGGCAAAGGAGGGTATGCACACTTGAACTCTCTCTAGACTGTACCTAAATTAGCTCAGAAACTTCTAGTGGCCCCCACACCCACTAGCCTAAATTTTCTTTTTTTTTTTTTTTTAAGATTTTATTTATTTATTTGACAGACAGAGATCACAAGTAGGCAGAGCAGCAGGCAGAGAGAGAGGAGGAAGCAGGCTCCCTGCTAAGCAGAGAGCCCGATGCGGGGCTCGATCCCAGGACCCAGGTGGGAGCATGACCTGAGCCGAAGGCAGAGGCTTTAACCCACTGAGCCACCCAGGCGCCCCTAAATTTTCTAAGTATGAAAAGTTACGTTAAAATAGGGAGTATCTTAGATAAACTGCTTTGAATAGAAAAGTTACAACACCTGAATCTTCCAAAATGTTGTTGTGGGGATTTAAAAAATTGCAAACTAAGTTATCAAAATTACATTGTAGGTTGGTTTATTGCCTACTGAAAACGGAAAGAAAATTTCAAATGGGATCAACAGTGGTATTGCTTAGAAACTGAAAAGGAAATTTCTATAGTATGAAATAAAAATGTTTTAAGGTGTCTTTTTTTAAAAATTTTATTTATTTATTTGACAGACAGAGATCACAAGCAGGCAGAGAAGCAGGCAGAGAGAGAGGAGGAAGCTGGCTCCCTGCTGAGCAGAGAGCCTGAAGCAGGGCTCGGTCCCAGGACTCTGGGATCATGACCCAAGCTGAAGGCAGAGGCTTTAACCCACTGAGCCACCCAGGCACACCATTAAGGTGTCTTATATTCATGCTAAAATTATTGGAAGAATTCCACAGAAAGGCCAAGAGACTAAAATAAAGTATTGCATTTTGCATTTTTAAAAAGTATTTTATGGGGGCGCCTGGGTGGCTCAGGGGGTTAAGCCTCTGCCTTCGGCTCAGGTCATGATCTCAGGGTCCTGGGATCGAGCCCCGCATCGGGCTCTCTGCTCTGCGGGGAGACTGCTTCCTCCTTTCTCTCTCTCTGCCTGCCTCTCTGCTTACTTGTAATCTCTCTCTGCCAAATAAATAAATAAAATCTTTAAAAAAAATAAAAATAAAAATAAAAAATATTTTATGTATTTGAGAGAGAGAGAGAGAGAGAGAGCACACACACAAGAGAGTGCGAGCTGGGGGGACAGGCAGAGGGAAAGGGAGAAGTGGACTCCCTGCTGAGAAAGAAGCCTGATGTGGGGACTGGATCCCAGGACCCCGAGATCATGACCTGAGCCAAAGGCAGATGCTTCACCGACTGAGCCACCCAGGTGCCCCTGCATTTTGCTTTTCAATGAGCTGATTTCTGACCTAGTGCAGCACAGGGCCGGGGTCCACTTGGGACTCAGAAGGAAGTTGCCACATGGGTCCAGAGTTGCCACTAAGAGCCACTATTCCGGAGACCGCACTCCGCCGCGCAGTGCAGAATGTCACTGGAAGAAAGCTGTCCCGTGTAGAGGACCGACGGCTCTCACCTTATGACCCTACTGGCTTGTTCTCATGAAACCTCTATCTGGAGGCAGGAAGCCCATACGCTGTGAGTTCTAGTTTGATGCTGACCTTCCTTGACAAACATAGGAAAGTGCATCGCTCCCTAACTCTAGCCAGGGAGGCTCAGCACAGGCCAGGGACGTCCGCGAACTGTTTCCACTGTCAGAGACCAGATAAACGACCACAGCAGCCTACACACAGTAAAGGTCTACGAGCTCTAGCAACAGCACCGAGAGAAGTCCTACTGCTACTCTATCTCCTCTCAAAACGGAACCTGTCCTTCCCCAATCTCTTTTCTACTCATGAAAAATGAGGGCATGACCTTCAAGTTTTTAGTGGTCTCCCTAACAAAGCCTTTTTTTTTTTTTAAAGTTTTTATTTTTAAATAATCTCTACGTCCAACGTGGGGCTCGAACTTACAACCCTGAGATCAAGACTTGCGCGCGCCCCCGACCGAGCCAGTTGGGCACCCCCAGTGGTCTCCTTGTTAGAGGCAAAAATGACTATTACTGTTTGAAGTGGATTAGCTCCGTCAGAATTCTTCTGTACCTTCTCACTCGGTCACAGAACTAATCTTGGCCAAAAAGCACACTCAAAAACAAACACATGTTTCCACAACTGCTACTCAAATTTTATATGCTAATTAAAACTTTTCCTTTTGTACATGTACAGGACTATAAAGTTGGGGTTTTTTTTGTTTTGTTTTTTAAAGATTTTATTTATTTATTTGACAGACAGAGATCACAAGTTGGCAGAGAGGCAGGCAGAGAGAGAGGAGGAAGCAGGCTCCCCGCTGAGCAGAGAGCCCGATGTGGGGCTCGATCCCAGGACCCTGAGATCATGACCTGAGCCGAGGGCAGAGGATTTAACCCACTGAGCCACCCAGGCGCCAAAGTTGGGGTTTTTTAATGAATACCTGAGAATTGAGATTTTTTTTCCAGAGGCAGAACAGCACAGCGATGAACGGTACAGACAGTGGGGCATTACCGGCTGGGTTCACGTCTGGCTCCACCACTGCCCTATGTGGGACCTTGGGCAGCTCACGGAGCTCTTCCCGCCTCGACTCTGTTGTCTATACCGCTGGGACAGTAACAGTGTCCACTCACAGGGTGCTGGGGACCAGACGAGAGACTGGATGGAGTGCCTGGGACAGTGCCTGGCACCTGGTTAGGAATAAATACAGCAAAGCCCTATTTCCGGAGAGTCCTCACTTTTCAAACTGAAGTGAGGACTGGAAATGGACGATTAACTCTGGCTTCCCGACAGATTCTTTACAAAGTGACACAGGAGTTATTAAGTCAACGATTAAGTTATTAAGTCAATACCGACTGAGGCAAAACCCAGCTAGTGCCTGCATTCAAAGGAACATCAAAGCCGGGGAGCCCGGTGGTTCTGCGGGATGGGGGACCTACAAGGAGACCCTGGACTGGGGCATCTGTGCTGGCGCCCCCCCTCGGGAGGGACGCGTGGGCCACAAGAAGCTGGAGCTCCAGACGCAGTGAGCCAGAAGGCGCTCTGTCACCCCGGGGTCCTGCCTCTGAGGCAGACCCTTTGACTAGAGATGCGACACCAAGGGTGGGCGCTTGGGGCCCAGTGTGCATGCAGGCAGCTTCCGTTGGAGCGTCCGAAGCCACGGATGGACAGGGCTTCAAGCTGGCTAAGTGCCCGGCAAGAAGAGCCTCTTCCGGTCTGCCGACTACTGACACTTTGGCGGACACAGAGACCTGCACACGTCCATTTAGAAGCATTCTTTCTTTTTCCTCACACACGGATGAGAGATTTTTAAATTATGGGACACAAACGTGCTGTGCGTTATCACCTCCCGCTGGCCCTGCTCCGGCAGGGAGGCTCTGCGTCCAGGGCCGGGAACGACACAGGCCGGAGCCCAACTCCCAGCTCGGTGCTCCCTTCTCGTAACTGCACCCAGAACCGTCCCAAGACCCAGCACCCATCCCGCTCACATATCCATTAGCCCAGTGCCATTAGCCTAGGACGGAGGAGCGCAGATACAGGACTAAAAGCCACCACAGGCAGCGATAACCTAAGTCGAGATGAAACTTATCATCGGTGCGCACTGACAGACACCGAACACGTGCCAGGCACAGTGCGGAATCGAACTGACATTCCAGCTGTAAACGTCTTTTAGGAGAGATCATGGTGCTGTGGTTTTGCTAAAAAGGGGAAAAAAAGGATACTGGGTTTAACACTGGACTGAGTTAAACAGAACAGAACATTCTGAATTAAACAGAATTTGCCTGAGCTGCCATCCAGAAGGGGTGTTTCCTCAGCCAACATCGACAGGGCAGGAAAGGCAGCCGGGGGCCAGCACACCCAACAATGGGCCAATATTTTAAATGCTGCCAATGGTTCTGTGTGCCTACTAAGGAGGAACAAAGCAAAAACTAACTAAGCACTTTCAAATACTCAAACTGAGGAAATGGAAAACGAAAATAAGACCAACTCAGATGATCATTCCAAACCACATATAAAGGTCTGCAGAGACTACAATATACATCTTTAATTTTTTTAAGATTTTAAGTAATCTCTACACCCAGTGTGGGGCTCAAACTCACAACCTAGAGATCGAGTTTTACGCTCCACTGACTGAGCCAGTCAGGTGTCCCTATAGTTATTGGTAATGAACAGGCATTACAAAAGAAAATTACCGGAAGTATTTAAAATATACTGTTGCCTCTTCTATTTTCCTTCCATGAGGATATGCTACATCGTGTTTGGGAGGAGAAGAAAGAAGTAAAAATGCAATCAGCAATCAGTCAAAATGACTATGGAAACAGCTGGACACTGATCAGACATGGAGCTTCATCAAAGTAAGTTGTAATGGAAAACGGTGCTTGTCCTTAACTCCCTCTCCATGGTCATAAAAGGATGCTTGCAACCCTGGACCATGGCCAACCAAAGTCTGAGTTTCAGAGACACTGAGAAAAGCCACAACTGGGGGAAGAAAAGCCAGGTGGATTTCTGAGCTGCCACGGGACTGTGGGATCTATACTTGGGCCATCTCAATGCCCCAATCTTTGCACTCTGCACCCCTTGCTACGTGTTAGAGTATGGCTCTTAAGAAACAGGCAGAACTGGTTTGGGGCTAAATATTGGGTCAAACGCTGTTACATGTCTGATGTGTTTGGGCTAAAATCCGTCACAGATCTTACATCTGATTATAATCTGGACACTGCTAGAAATGAATCAGGGGCTCCTGGGTGGCTCAGTGGGTTAAAGCCTCTGCCTTCGGCTCAGGTCATGATCCCGGGGTCCTGGGATCAAGCCCCGCGTCGGGCTCTCTGTTCAGCAGGGAACCTGCTTCCCCTCTCTCTCCGCCTGCCTCTCTAACCACTTGTGATCTCTGTCTGTTAAGTAAATTAAAAAAATCTTTAAAAAAAAAGAAATGAAGAATCACATCATGTAGTCAGTAGAACTTCTCATGCTTGGAAAGTAGGCTGCTTTATTTACTCTGCATTCTCCTTCCCTTAGGACATCATTAAAATCTTACTTTTTGGTGGACTTTGCCTCTTGGAATTCGGCGGCAGTCCCTTTTCGGTCTTCCCTGATTCTGCAGAGAGGGAAACCGTGGAAGCAAGTCCTCGACACACTCGTGCTTCTAGGAGCACAGTCTGAGAGAAGAACGAACAGATACAGACATTTTAGAGCAAAGCCATTCGGAAGCTGCGCGACACAGAAATACTACGTGTCATTACTAGTCATTCACATGGTCTACTTCTCACAGCCATTACAATTTCCAAAACATGTGTATTACGGAAATTTTGGAAAATACCAAAAAAACTGTAAGAAAAACCCCCCACAGGACAGTCGTTATTAACTACGTAACTGCGAGAAAAGCCAAGACAGCTGCTCCCGGGCACACTGTGCTGTAGCCCCGATCACCGACCAACCCACAAAGTACTGATTCTTCCTGTAAAACGCTCTCCCACGCCTAGAGCGCTAAGCAGAAGAGACACCGTCCGGCTGTCGCTCACGCGTACGCGAGTGACCACCACTTCCGAACCGCTTACAGGGCGAGCGGCGACCGTCTAACGGACCGGCAAGCACTGGGTGCACAGCCGGCGCGGCCGAGCGCTCTTCCCGAAGCCGGCGCGGAGGGGCTGCCTCTGCTGTGCGCGCGAAGGTAAACGCGTGTCCTACGTTCACGACCGCAAGCAGGGCCGTGTACGCGGCCGCGCAAACAATCGCTCGGAACCTGGGGCCTCCGGGGCTCGACGGCGGACCCTGAAGCCGAACCCCGCCACCTGCACTGAACCGTCCGCGCTTTCCTAAGAGCCGCCACGAATGTAAGTCCCGGGAGACGGCCTTATTTCCACCCGGCAAGAACGCCCTCGTCCCTTCCCGTCCTCACAGGCGGGGTCAGGCAGGCGGGCGCCCCGCGGAGGCCCGGTGCGTCACCCGCGGAGCCAGGCCCCTCCGAGCTCCCTCCTCCCCTCTGCGGCCTGAACACGAGGTCAAGACGCTGTCCTCAACGGTCCCGACGCCGGGGGCTTCCCGGGGGATCGCGGTCCGCCGAGGGGCTGGGGCCCGGCTAGTGCCCGCCCCAGCGGCCACCCCCGGGCCCGCGCCCTCCCCTGAACCCGGGAGGCGGGTCAGCGGCCAGCAGGACGGCTGGGGATGGCTCTGGCCCCACACGGGCTCCCGCCGCCGGCCCGGCTCCCCTGTACCTTCAGCGCCGCGGACGGTCCTCGCCGCAGCAGAAGAGAGGACGCCATGACGGGGACACCGGGAAGGACCTGGCGAGGGCCGGAGGAGCCGGAGGTCGCGCCGGGACTGACGTCACCGCGGCGCGCGCACCACCGGCGAAGTCCCGCCCCCAGGGCCGAAGGCGCCAATCACAGGGAGGCACGGGGGCGGGGCCGAGGCCGGGACGTGCGGGCGCATCCCAGCCTCCTCCGCTCCGCCGCTCAGGCCCCGCCCCCGGGCGGCGCTGCCAGTCACCGGCGGGGCAGTCCCGGCGCGCGGCCGTGGGTGTGTTCTGCGGCGTCCTTGTCCGCTGAGGGCGTCCTTTCCGTCCGGCGCGGACTTCAGGCCGTACCCGGGCACGGGCACTGACCCGCAGTCGCCTGTCTGGTGGCCGCGCGCACGTCAGCCCCGGCCTCGGCGGCCCCTGGCGACGGGTCGGACGCAGCCCGCGGGCGCGGTGGGCAGTGGACGCCGCTGCTCGTCGCCAGTGCTGCCGTAACCTCGGGCGGGGCCCTGGGCGCGCTGAGCCCGGCGGCGGAGCAGGCGGCTCGGGGGTGCAGGCCGCACCGACCGGGTGTCGGCGGCTCGCAGAGCGGAGGCCCGGGTGCGCGGAGAAGCGGGACCGGCCTGGTCGGCTCCGCCGTCCGTCGCGCCTCCCTGCCCCCATCCTGCCCCGTCCGGGGACTCCTGGACGGACGAGCCCACTCCTCCGACTGCGGGGACCGCGGGGAGACCCGGGGCAGGATCGATGGGCAGAACCCGGTCCCCCAGCCCCGTAGCCAAGGGGACTCGAGAATGGAACGCAACCTGCCACCAGTCTCCCAGGGGCAGAGCGACAAGCCCGAGATCTTCGGATAATAATGCGAAAGGGGTCCTTGGTCTCTGCAGAAGGGAAAACCTTGACAACAGATTTATCCTTTTTCTAAAAAAATGATTTTGTTTATTTATTTGACAAAGAGATCACAAGCAGGCAGAGAGGCAGGCAGAGGGGGTTAGCAGGCTCCCCGCTGAGCAGAGATCCCGATGTGGGGCTCAATCCCAGGACCCTGAGATCATGACCCGAGCGGAAGGCAGAGGCTTAACCTACTGAGCCACCCAGGCGCCCCAGATTTATCCTTTTCTAAAAATATTTATTTATTTATTTATTTATTTTTAGTTGAGCGAGAACAAGCACGGGAAGGGGCAGAGGGAGAGGAAGAAGCACGCTCCCCGCTGAGCAGGGAGCAGCGTTCAGGACTCCATGCCAGACTCCATCCCAGGACCCTGGAATCATGCTTGGCTTGAGCTGACTTGGAGGCAGAGGCTTAACCCACTGAGCCATCCAGTTGCCCCAACAGAATTCTCCTTTACTCAAACCAAATGTACTCTCGTCTCCAGCGGAAAGTTCAAGCTTGCCTTGTAAAGCCTCAACAATAAAGTGTCTGCCTCAAGAATAACATGAAAAGGCCAACCCCACTGGGACCAGTGTGGTCACTGGTCACAGTGGCCTGAGGAGAGCTCACCCACTGATGAGGGAACAGAAGGCAAACTGGGGACAAAGCAGAAGCTGACACCCCACAACTCCCCCCCCCCCATGGAATATATGTGGCATCCCTCAGGCACTCCTGACTGCCCTTAAGGAAAAACAAGCAGTTCACTTGCAGGGATCACAGTCCTGCAAGGCCTGCATCTCCCTCCATTTACATGTGTCCTAGTGATGTACAAGGAGGAAGCTTTCTTATCGGTAGCCAAACTTCCAGAGACCCATAACTTTCCTGAAACCATAACATCACCCTCCCCTCCATAAAATTGAGGGAGGGTGAGGCAGAAGGAAATGTAAATAAAACAGTTTCTTTTAAACCTGCAGACCATTGGTGAGGTCGTGTGTGATAGGAGGAATGTAACACTCTTCCAGGAAGCTCCCAACTATCTTACTGTTAACGCCTTACTAGAAGGTTAAACAACCTTAACTTGACAATAGCAAGGCCTCTGGTATCCTGTGAGTCTTCTTTAACATATGAAAGTTCCTCCTAAAAACCTCCCCTTTTCCTCACGGACCCCATAGTAGATAATCAGCCACACTCACAACCCCCGGGGGGGGGGCAGCCAATCTTTCTGCCCACAAGTCCTGTCCCCATGCTTTAATAAGCCACCATTGTACACCAAAGATGTCTCAAGAATTCTTTCTTGACTGTAGGCTCTGGACCTCACCCCACCGAACCTTACCTATATTCCCGAACCCCATCAGTATGATTGAGGGGACCCCTGGCAAAGAAGAGACACCGGGACTGGGGGGAGGCGTTCTGGTGGTTTTCCAAAGAAGCAGTGAGATTGCGGGTGAAGGTAACTATGGCAACAAGGCAAGACCAAGGTCTGAGCTTGGAGGGAGCAGGACCTACTGGGAAGCTAACACCTGCAGTCAGGGAGGACAGCAGGGGTGTCCATCAGGACGAGGGAACAGAAAGGACAGGGCCAAAGTGCAAGAAGCAAGTACAAAGGAAGGAAAATGCAGGAAAATCGAAGAAGCGATGCCGGAGGGAGGGGGTCTGTGCCTTCAGGAGTATTTGCAGAGCGGGGATTATACCGCGTTTTCCGATCAGCTGGAAACCCGTAGACTGGATTCCATTTCTCCTGCACCTATCACCTTGCCCAGCGAGAAATAACTCAGCAGTTTTTAGGCAAAAACCTCAGAAACTTACGTTTGCCTGTATTTCCTTATTAATCACACAAAGACCTATCTAAGTTACTCCAAATCCCCCTTCAGTCTCCTGAAGCCCAATTAAACATCTTTTTTTTTTTAAAGATTATTTATTTGACAGAGATCACAAGTAGGCAGAGAGGCAGGCAGAGAGAGAGGAGGAAGCAGGCTCCCCGCTGAGCAGAGCCCGATGTGGGGCTCGATCCCAAGACCCTGAGATCATGACCCGAGTTGGAGGCAGACGCTTTAACCCACTAAGCCATCCAGGTGCCCCCAATTAAAAGTCTTTTTTTTTTAAATAACCACAAAATGGAGCATCACTTGGACCCAACCCTGGGCTCAAAGGTGTTTGGGCCGAAAAGGAAAATAAAAATCCTCAGGTTCCTGCGGTCCTTACACATACATGCGTTCTTGCCCAAGACGCACACGCTTTTTAAGCCCCAAAGGAAATGTGTTATGGCATTTTCTGTGTAAGTTAACACAACTTAATTATATGTTTTACATTGTTGGGTCCCCCCAAAATTGGGTACCCCAATAATGGGTCCGTGATTAAAGGAGCG